GCAGAGCCACTGGTGGACTGCTCGAGTGGCCGAGCAAGCCTTGGGGGCAGAGCAGAGCAGAGCAGGCATTCGGAGGGAGGGCCGAGCAGTCACCGTCTGCCAGAGGCTACTTCGGGAGGCCCGGGGTCTGGGCTCTCGCTGGGAACTCTGGGGAGACCTGGGCTTTGAATCGGGAGGGCAGAAGTCGTCTCCGCGTCCTCAGTTAGGCCCTTGGGCCGACACTGCGCGTCTGCCACCGCCGGGCACTGGTGCCGCGATGAAGTGACTGCACGCCTGCGACTGCAGCCGGCCCTCTGCAGGATGCGGCCTAGCTGGGGACGGTGATGGCGCTGTGGGGACCTAGGTGCGGGCAGCCTTGTAGATACACGCCTCTGCGCCTCTCTGAGAGGCTCGAGCCATCTGGGGCCGTAAACTGGACTTGGGAGGATTGATGTGGACCAGAGCGCCTGCACACACACCCCCAACCCCACCCCAGAATAAAGGGGTTGGGGTTGGGGGGAATGATCTGCGAGTGGAGGGGAATATTGACTGAAACGGAAGTTCCAGCCGAGCTCAAGTCTGGAGAAGAGGGAGCGGTGACGGAGGGGTCAGTGGAAAGGAAGCTTGAGTTTCACCTTGGGAATGAGACCGCAGGTGAGGCGGTAACTGGTTTTTGACGGGACACTGACTGCTGGGTAGGACAGGAATAAGAGGCAGGTTCGGCTAGGGCCAACAGGTGCCCCGTGAGCGCTGGCTGTGGGAAGGGGCAGGTGTGAGCAGCTTTCGGAAAGTGCTGTTCAGTGTGGAGCCTGAGGGCCAGCGGGCATCCTGCTGCAGCCTCCTGAGCACTGGTTGGAATGGCAGGCCCCTGGCCACTAGGCTGATCCCTCGGTTGGGGGGGGACAGAAGCCGGTAGGGAGCCTGGAGACAGACAGAGCCTGCGGGGCGAGGAGCGGCGAGGGCGAAGCGCGCCGTTCTGCAGGTGGAGGAGGAAGACACGGGTCGGGCACTGCAGCAAGCATCCGGTGCGGGAGAGGGGGCAAGATCAGAACCTTCTGCTGGATTACGGGCCAGTTAGAACGTCCGTTTCTGGGACCCAAAGGGAGATTGCCCTGCCACTTGAGTCCTGGGAGGCCTTGACGAGATCGCCACCTGGGAACCCCGTGTCTGTGAAGTGCAAACAGAAGTGGAGCGTTTATAGTGTCTCGGCGGTGCTTGGGTCAAGTGGACCACGGCGCACTGTGCCATCGCAGTTTACGTAGGTGCCACCAGGTTGGGCTTGCGGCTCGGACGGGCGGCTTGGTGATGGCGAGCCCGCGGCAGTGGGCCTTCCGTGTAGTGCCACCCCGCAGGCTGGGGTGGCTGAGTCACGCGGTCCAGATGCAGCTCCCAAGCGCCATTTAGTGTGCGTCCTCTCTTCTCCTTCTGTGCCCGAACTTCACAGGTGGTCTGTGCCCACCACAAAACTTGAGAAAATGGGCAACTGAAAGAGGCTGGCGGGCCGTGGGGCCATCACCGAGGGCACGCTACCTGCTGGCCTGCCGGAGCTGGTGGCCGGCTGCTTGGCGTCCCGAGCCTTGTGGCCGCTGTCTCCGAGCGAACTGCCTCAGCGCTGCTGAGAAATAGAAGGGGCACTCGAAGCCCCCTGAGAACGTGGGACAACAACAGCTTGCAGGCTAGGGCCTGGAGACAGAAGCCTGAGGCCGACGTCTGGCTGACGTTGATGGGATTTGTAGCATTTTTGAAATAACTGCCCAGAGGTAGACCTGCATGCGCGTGCCTTTGCCTGACCCTTGCCGCCGGCGCGGAGAGCCCAGTGCGGGGGCTCGCCCTCCCTGAGGCACCTGCAGGGCAAACTGCTGAGTCTCGGAAGTTGGCGTGTGGAGCTGTGGCGGAGCGTTGGCTCTCCTCAGTACACTGAGCAAGTCCCAGAAACAGCCGGTGAGGCTGTGTCTCGTGGCCTCACTGCCGGTTGCTCCGCCGAGGCCTGCGCCGGTCTGGCAGGGCCCTGCTGCAGGGCCTTGCTGTGCTTCAGTCCTTGCTGCTTTCACAGATTTTGGTGAGTGTTCAAGTAAGATAACCGAGGATGGAGAAAAGGTCCTCTAAATCTTAAACCGTTTTCACTAAAAAAACGCGGAGATTCTGTCGTCGGTGGCACAGACTGTGGCGGGGGCAGATGCCGCCGGGAGCCGGACAAGGGTGGACACAGGAGAGACTCGCCGGGCCACCCCCGTGCAGGAGCTAGAGGCGTGGGCGGCTGCGGGTGGGCTCTTCTAAGAAACCAGCAGCCAGAGTGCTCAAAAATTTTTCCCCCCAAGACAGTTTGTGTCTTCTGATGAAAATTAGCCAGATAACTCCTTTTTCAATGACCATTGATTATAAGTCTGTCATCAGTAAGGATGAACTTGTGCTTATTAATTCAGTTGTGCATTTTCCTGGTGATTTTCCTGAATTCAGTGTGGGGGGTATTAAAGCAATATCAAGTTTTAGCTTTAAACACTGGGTCTAAACATGACCTACAGTTTTTTCTCATTATGGGCAGCGGCGTCACCGGCCAGGGCAGCAGCACGCACAGGCGCCGTTCTCAGCAGTGCCTGTGGGCAGCACTTGTGCCCTGGCCTTGCCAGCCTGCTGGGTGGACACCACGCGGGGCCTGTGTGCAGTGTGGCGCACCTCCTGTGGTTCCTCCAGAAACAAGGGGAGAAGCCGCCCTGAGAACGTCCACTTGGCCGTTTCTTACCCCCCAGTTTACTGGCTCTGGGGACTTCCCACTCTGCCCCTTCGGGCTGTAAAGCCTCTGAGCTGTATGAGAACCGACTGGATCACAGTAGCCCAGGGCCTGAGCCTGTGTCTGTCGCTCTGTTCTGCCTGTCACCTGGCACTCTGGATGGGCAGTGGGAGCAAGGGCCCAGGAAACCCGGCCCCTTGGCCTTGTGCGCATGTGCTCCCCGCGTGGGTGCTTGACAGAGCTCGGGGCGACTCCGCCTTACCCACATTCCCCAGCGAATTTGACAGCTTTTCTGATCAGCTTGCCTAGAGCCTTACCTCATTCTTTTCCCTGTTTTTCACTTTGTGGAACATTTTAATTGGAACTGTTTCACATTTGCCTTCTTTTCAGATTTGTGCCAATTGCAAAGTTAAAGCTGCTTCTTAGGTTTGTGTACATTTACTAACTTTCTCTAAGAGCACCCAGCAAAAGTATGTACATCCATGTATTTTTAAAGCTTCATATTGTGGGAACTTTCTAAATCGGGCAAAAGTAGAATGTTCTTCGTCCCGTTATACCCACTGTTCAGCAATGGTCAGGACTGACTTGTTTGATCTCATTTCTCTTTCTCTTCAGATGAAGTGGAGAAGCATAATGCTTGTATTTGAAGGGGGATTGGTTTATTTTCTGTTGAAACCACTGCCTGACTTCCTTTAGATCATTTTGCGATTGAATTTTGTGTTGGGTGGTTATCTGTTGTTGTTGTTGTTATTATTATTATTATTATTATTAAGCGAAAGTTACCATTGGTGAGGGGTTGTTGGGGCTACCCTTCACGCTTTTTTATTGGAACTTTACAGTGGAGAAGGTATCTAATCAGAGTGTGTTTTGGTTCTTTTAAAAAAATGGATAACTTAGTGTTGGGAGGAGGACCTATTTAAGAAATGGGCCACAGGGTCGTGAGAACGAGCATTTATAGAGAATCCCTGAGAAATTATGCTCTCTCAGGTAGCTGGTGTTTTTTTCACAAGACAGCGTGGAGATTATAAATGCAGATGCTGCAATGAATCTGAATGTTTGAGAGAGAGAGAGAGGTAGTGTGGGACAGTGACCAGAGCTTGAGAATAAAAGCACTTAGGTGGGAATTGATTGACGCGCCCCCCCCCCCATAGAATTGTGTTGAAGTAGACTATTTAAAGATCATGTAGAAAATGGGAAGTCTTTACTGGTAAATTGTAGATGTAATTTATACATGTGTGTGTTAAACGAGTCATGAAAAGATACAGAGGTAACAGGTTTTCATGATTCTGTGGGTTGTGAGATGGGCAAAGCATTAATAAATGGGCTGTTTGGGATTTAAATATACTGCCAGGGCTCAGGATCCATCCATTCGCCACAGTTACTTTCCATTCGCCACAGTTACTGTCCTGTTACATGGAAATGTACTTTGAACCATGTATATAATTAAACATATTCCAGCGGCCATATTTGAAAGCAGTCAGTGAGATTAATTTTAATATGTTACCATGTCTGAGCATACATCATTCGAGCATGTAGTCAGAAACATGTGTGATAGGCTTCATATTTTCTCATCACCAAGATCTTGTCTGGTCAGGCATGGAACTGGCCGTCAGTGGCCCCTGTGGTCTGGTCTGTGCTGTCTCCACTCTAGTGTCGGGACAGGTGTCAGTGTTCTCAGTACAGGGTTCTGTTTTCCAGCAAGCAGGTTGGTCTGTACTACCTAAGTGGGATTTGAAAGTGGGATTTAAATTAAAGGAAGTGGGATTTAAATTAAATGTCGTATTTCATTGAGCTGAAATCATTTTCAACCACTTCTCCATCTCTAGGAGAGTTTTTAGTTGAAAGGCACACAAGAGAAGGTGCCGTTGAGGGCATGCAGTTCAGAATCAGACCCCAGCTTGCTGGGGGGGGGTGGGGGGGGATGTTTCACTGCCTGAACTGCTCACTGGCTAGACCAGCTAACCTGGCCTGAGTGGGCTGGTGAGCAGATCGTGTATTACAGCTTGCCTGTTGCCGATCTGTTAACAGTTCCCGCTTTAAAACTAATGTCTTAGTAAGCTCTCTGCATATGGTCATCCTTGGGTATTTACAAAGCAATAGTGGAAAAATAAATTTTATGTTGAACTTCTGCATCTTAACATTAGTATCTGTCATTTTCTTGAATGCTTCTTGAAAACAAAAGGTAAAAATCAGTTATATCACCAGGCTCAGTGTCTCACAGACTTAAAACTAGGTGTAGTCAGTTGCTATTTCCTTCCATTAACCTAAGTCTTTTTCCTCCTTTGTTTGCTAGTCGGCAGCAGGAAATAGAAGAGAAACTCATCGAGGAAGAGACGGCGCGAAGAGTAGAAGAGTTGGTGGCCAAAAGGGTGGAGGAAGAGTTGGAGAAGAGGAAGGATGAAATTGAGCGCGAGGTGCTCCGCAGGGTGGAAGAGGCCAAGCGCATCATGGAAAAGCAGTTGCTCGAAGAACTCGAGCGACAGAGACAAGCTGAGCTAGCGGCACAGAAAGCCAGAGAGGTAACGCTCGGTCGTTTGGAAAGTAGAGACAGTCCATGGCAAAACTTTCAGTGTCGGGTGTGCCTCTGCTCAGCTCAGAAAGAGGTGGAATGCAGACCGATTCCCTTCTCACCTAAACCTGCCATTGCTGCGGAAGTTAATTCTTAGCCTATTCACAAGTGCTGACTGAGATTTAAAAGTTATTTCCATAAAACATATTCAAGGATACCTTTTGATTTACTGGAACTGGCTTACATATTTGAAAGTGTTTGAAACTTTTGCCATGGCTGCAGGACTTACATTCTTTCTCGGGAGGTGGGGGAGTCAGGGCGTGGTGAAGGGCAGAGGTAAAAATCCACCTGTGGTTATGTATTCTTTTCTGTTTATCACTCTTGCTACCTAGACTGTGAGAGGCTTTTTGCCTTCAGTCAGATTAAAAAGAGCAGGGCTAACGTTGAGCGACAGCGCCTGCTTTGGAGAAATAGGTTTTCTTGCTCTTCTTTTTTCCCTCCTTTTACCTCTCACCCCTACCCCAAATCCTGCCTCAGCACAATGGACTAACTCTAGCATTCTGATCAGGAGGCCCTCCATTTCTTAATGTGTTTCAAAGAATCTTTTTAGGAAACATGTCCAGATTATTCATCCACTTTTTTAGTATCTACTAACAACTCCTTTTTTTCTCTAGAGAGTTATGAAGGAACAGGTTGTCCTTGTCTGGAGTCAAGCTAAACACATGATTTGTTTTATCAGCAGCTGGAGCAGAAGTTGAAAATGTCTTTCTATGAGACAGTAATTTGCTACTGAAGCTTTCTGGCTTGTTTGCACTGATTACTCCAGGACCCTAAACCTTGTAAAAGTCCCGGGGCCGGGGCCAGGTCCCGGAGCAGCACGCGGGCACGGTCATCCGCGCCGTGGGAGTGGGTCTGGGCTGTGTGCCCCGGCCTACCGTGGCTGTGTCTCCTTGAACTTAATGCCTCACTCAAACCTCTGACTCGCTGTCATGTTTAACCTTGGCATTACTGTGGACGAGTTGGCCATCGTACTGAATTCTATGCTTTCCGTGGGCTGAGCTGTTCAAATGTATTTCCTTGTACTGTCCTCACTAGGTAACATGTTTATACGTGGTACGTTTTGCAGACTATACAATTGAGTGTATGAAATTTTTCCTTGTATCAGTGCTTTTAATATAAATGAATATATTTTTGGAGTAATGGTGCTGTCTTGTAGCGAGTTATTAATCATAGGAAGATTTTTTTCTCTTCATTTGCTTTTTGTTTCATATTAACAATTTTTTTTTACACGGACACAACCCTCTGACAGTGGTTCCAAATATTAAAATCATTTGAATATGTATGCTGTGATCTGAACACTGCCCAAGCCATCAAGCAGTCTTCATATAGCTTGCATTATAAAATCTCATTAAATTTTCCAAGAGAAAGTAAATTACAGAATTTTATTTCCTGTCCATGCACCCCTGGATTCCTGAATCTCAGTTCAGACTGTAGATGACCAGATAAGCTGCCTTTAGAAATTGTCAACATCTGAATGCTAAGTCCATTTCCCCACGGAAGAAGCCCTTAGCTCCATGAAGTATGGATTACCATTTGTATTTTTCACTAACAGTAAATGTATTTTTCTTATTAATTGTTTGCCTTAGGAATGATGAATTACATTTTTTGTTCCTTCTTACCATAAACATCTGCATCCCCCAGCTCAGCCTTCCTTGTATGTTGTTTCTTTATGAATGGTTGAGCTGCTGATGCAGGTATTGCCAAGCTAACAGTACAAATCATTTTAAAGAGGAAGCTGGCGCGTATGGCAGCCGAGGAGCACACTCTGCAGGACACTGGACAAGACAGTAAATATTCAACTTTTAATGCTGATTAAAGGAGTATAGGTAAAGAATACGTAGGTATACATGATTGGTGAGACAAATATTCACTTTATTTATATTTTATATATTATTTTTTTAATTTGGTAAATACTATCCAGTTTTGTAGTTGTCCTTGTTGATTTGTGTGATGTTAAAGTACTAGTAATAATTGCCAGGAGACTGTCACTAGGGAGGGTTTAGCCGGTTGCTGTGTGGACTGGGCGGGATGATGTGAGTCAGACTAGAGGCAAATAGCAGTGGCTGCACAGTTTATCGTTTGTCAGCGAGCAGGTAGCCGTACAGCTACCCTGTCAGTCAGATCAAAGCAGTTCAGAGGAAGATTAGTGAATATTTATCAGTGAAAATAAACATTTTATTTGTCTGACATGTTAACATGTCCTCCCCTTTAGGAGGAAGAGCGTGCAAAACGCGAGGAGCTAGAGCGGATACTCGAGGAGAATAACCGGAAAATCGCAGAGGCACAAGCCAAGCTGGTACGTGGGGAGCGCTGGGGTTCGGGTCGCCCTCGCCCTGCTGCTCTCAGGCCTCGTGGGGTGGATTTGTGCTCCGGGTCGTCTGGGCTTTCAGAGTCCGCTGCACGGCTTTCAGGGGCTTGGGGCCCCGAGACTGCCGGGAGGAGCTAGTTACCTGGGTTCCCGCCGCAGGGGTGGGCAGAGGTGCAGGTCCCCGTGCGTATAGCAAGTGTAGTCTGGAGCGGGCTCCGGAATTTGCAGCGTTTTGTTTCAAAACGTCGCCTGGAGGAAGCCCGCGGTCCCTGCCCTCTGCCTGCCCCGGCTCGCGCCCCCCCCAGCGCAGCAGTGCAGCTTGGCGACTGAGGCCGTGTTGCGCAGCGGCGCGCCCCGCTGGTCGGCGTGGTGACCGGTCACCGTGCAGGGTTAGGTGGGGCTGCACGTGCCAAACCAAGACACTCTCAGTTCTAGTTTGTCATCTAAAAAGAAAACGACTTTAAGAAATTACAATGGCAAAAAGAGATGTAAAAGTGATAGAGCAATTCAGTAAAGCCAGAGTAAGAGCATTGAGATCTTAAAGTTTGGTGTCCTTCCAGGTTTCTCATTTAAGCGAGTATGTTTTTGAATCTAAGTTCTAGGGTTAAAGGACTGCAGAAATAACTAATCCCCAAGACAAAACGCTAAAATGTGATAGTCAGACATAAGGGGCACTTTTCTTTGTCCGTGATAGTGGCGTGTCAGGAGAGCACTTCAAAATCAGAAAACCAGTCAGAGGTGGAAGAAGCTTCATTTACGATGAATGGGGGTTCCGTGCCCAGACTGAAGGCATGACTGGAGGCTCTCTTGGCGCTAAGACATGTGGGAAAGTTTGCGTTAAAGATGGGTTGGGAATAACAGCCACGGGATGGCGTTTGCTGCTAATTCCCCATGTGTTGGGGAATTGAAGCAGGTTGTAAGCACCAGCCGAGGAAAGACTGCTGTGTGACAGTGTCTGTAGGAGCACAGACGGTGACGGGGGTGGCTTTCCGGTGGAGTCTGGTGAGGAGGCTGAAGGGAGGCCGAGGTGTGCTCTGCACTAGGTAAGAAGGTAGCTGCTGTTAGAGCGTTGTCTTCAGTGGTTGCGGCGTGGGAAGCAGCCAGTGCTGAAATCAGCCTCCCCCACTTAGCAAGTGACCCCATGGGTTCTGGAGGCTGACAGTGTCGTGGTTATTACGAAAGGCACCCTGCAAGAGGGGCTTGCTCCTTTTCCCCGGTAAGACAGCAGCTTAGGTGGAAAAAGTAACTGAAGTGGATGAGAAGTCACCGGGCGATAGCCGTGCTGTATGCACATTGACAGTGTGCTGGTGCCTTTTCGTGAGGCTCGCTGTGTGCACACGGGAGAAACTTGAAAGGTGGTAAAGCAAGGGTGTTTCCAGAAGAGCTGAGACTCTGAATCGCACAGTGTCTCCTCGGTGTGCCTGTTCAGCTTGGGGGTCACTTCTAGAGCAGAGCTGCTCAGATTGGGGTTCCTGCCAAGAGCTTGCGCCCTTCTGACCCTGGGGTGGCTGACTGGGTGCCTGGAGACAGCTGAGCCCTCTGTGTGGATTGATGATGCATCATGGAGAGACAGCCTGCTGTGTGATGGCCGGGGCACGGTCAACTGCAGGCATTGCCAGAGCAGCACTTCTCTGGCAGTAAGTGGTCGGAGTCTTGTTTCTGTCTTTTAACCCCCATTTGTGTGTGACCTGTACTTCATCTTAAAACTCAGTTATTGGGATAAAGAGGTCAAGTAGCTATAAAATGTCCTGACACGTGTTCTTGTTCCCTGCATCTCTTCCTGCGGGTTGGCTGGTTTCTGGACTGTCTCTGTCAGGCTGGTTAGTTCCATGCTCGATTCTGGAGCTTGAGCTCATGGACTGCGGTGGTGGCACTGTGCTGATGATGTGGTGTTGATAAAACTGGTGAATGACCTGTTGAAAGGAAGTCTGGTAAAAGTTTAGACACAGTTAACTTAGTTGATTCCAGTGTTCAGTAAAGTCGGAAGCATAGGAAGTTGTTGATGTGGCAGAAAAATCCGTTTTTATTTGGTGCTCTTGATGGTCACACAGCTGGAGGGAAGTGGCGTGCCTGCAGGAGTCAGTTACCATGTGCGAATGCGAGGTGCGCGCTGAATCCCTTCATTGTTCTGCTCTCGTCCTTGTCTCGGTTTTGAGCGCGGCTTAGTCCTGAAGACGTGTATAGCTAGTTATTAGTAAATGTTACGTGAACAGTTACTGAAGGGCTCATTAAAATAATAGCTCTCTAAGGGGAGGGAGTATATCAGAAAGCCTCCGACTTTCCTTGAGTATGGCGGTGACGGTGGTTTGTCTTACTGATGCAGCAATCTGTCCATGACATAAAAATGCTGTGGAAATGGGATGGTTTGTTGCTTTATACGAAGCAAGAAGAATGGATGGAGTCTCACCTCTTAAAAGAGGAAGGGGAAAAGCTTCATTTTCATGCATCTATATTGGGGACTAGTACTGAGAAAGAGCAAGTTAGAGGTTAAGCATAGACCACACGTTCTTTTGAAGACTTTAATGTGCTAGTCGTCCCACACCGATGTGGGGATAAGGCCATTCCTGGAAGAGGTAGCTGGTCAGGTGGGAATGCTTGGCCTTGTTACGGGTGCTAGGAGGTAGCTGGCGTGATTGCCCTGGGAGTCCTGGCGCCCCTGGTGGGGAAGCCCTGAGTTGGTCCTTGCGGTAGTTACAGATTGAGACTGGAGTGAGGAAATGGAGCAGGTAAGGCCTTTCAGGAAGGGTTAAAGCAAGCTTGGAGTCTGGACTCTCAGGCTAGTGGGAGAAAGTAGTTAGTGAGCCAGCTTTGTGTATATACTGTGTTTGCTTGGTAAGTAGAGAGATGAGGTTTAAAAACAGATCAGTGGGAAGGCAGGTTGAAAGGAAAGTGCCCTGAGGGAGATTTGTCCTTAAACATCAACATAGACCAGCTCCGAAACAGAAAAAACAATATGAAAGACTTAGTAAAGAGGGGTGCTCATCTGTAGAATGTGTAATCGTAAAAATACATGGGAAAGCAAAGGAGTGCGCCCCTCTCTGCCTCCTGATGCGGACACCAGGTTAGAAGAGGCCCCACCCTCCCCCGGGAGCCGCAGAGAACCCCTTACCCGTGGCCCTGGAGTCTCAGTGGTGCGGCCACTCTGAGGAGTATGGTGAGTCAGTAAACAATGGGAATTAATTTTGCTTTTAAAAAATTGTCTTGTGGAAACAGATAACAGATTTACACACAGCAATGTTTGCATTTAGAACGATGGCAGTCGCCCAGTTTGGGAAGTCCCCGTGCACACACGTAATGAACATGTCTGCGTAGCCGGAGCGTGTTTGGCGCGGCGTGGGGTGACGCCCGGCACAGCCGTCGGTTCTGCCGGTGTCGAGCGCACGTGTTGTCGGGCTGAAAGTGCGAGAGCTGCGCGTGCCTGGGACGGACGGGACCGTGCGTGACCGCTGTTTTTCCATTTTCTGCGCTCACAGCACTTGCTAATGATAAAACTTACCTCATAGTGACAGGAAAGCCGCGTTGACGGAGTCTGAAGGGAGGTGTGAGGAAGGCTGCCGGCCGGCCCGCGCCGGCTGGGGCCGTGAGCCACCGGGCGCTCGCGGCTGGCGGCTGGCGAGGCCGCTTCCAGCCTGTCTCAGTTCCCGCTGTTGATGGAGAGACTTGCCTTTCTCTGTGCATAAGCAAGCAGGAAACTACTAACCTGCAAGAATCACTTGATTTGTAAGTCAAAGACTCACCCAAACAGGGCTTGGCTCTTTTGGCAGATTGGGTCCTGGCTCTCTGGTGAGTGTTGTCAAGTGTTTAACTGCCCAGAATTTGAGGGGCTATTACAATTAACGAAGGAGAGTTTTGATAAACATGGAAAGCTTTGAGGTCCGCTGCCGCAGCTCTCTCATGGTACACTCGGGACAAGCCCAGGTATCGTGATGTGGGAGTTGCAGCATTTTGAAAGGGAAGCTGACTAAGAAAGGGCGGAAATGACCCTCCAACTACCCCCTGGGGACGAGCAATAAAATAGAACCCCCTGAAGAAGAGACTCAGACCCACAGGCCTACTCACACTTGGTAATGAGCATGTGCTGATGAGAACGAGACTTGGTTCTAGGTGGGGGCTTGGCGTCCTTGGGGGAGTTGAGCTGGGATCGCCTCTCCTGCCGCACTGCTGCTAGGTGTCTCCTGCAGGGAGGCGGCACCTGGAGAGGCGCGGCAGCACCACGGGTGTGGAGGGCTGGCCTGGGCTCAGGAATCCTGGGGCGGGGGCTGGCCCCCAAGCTGCCGCACGGCCCGAACTCTTACCTGGCGGCCATGCGTTGCCTAGACGGGCGGGAGCCATCAGCTTGGGACCAGTGTTGAGCGCTGGCGGCATTGTGAGGCTTTTGGTAGAAGTGGGGACTGTAGCGGTGTCTCTGACGGCTCAAGCAGGCGAGGAGCACGCGTCACTGGAGCAGAGGGAAGGGGGCCTTGCCTCCGTGTGGAGCCCAGCTGACGTGCGTCTCTGAGGGGTGCAGAGTCCACATGGGAGGGAGGTGCTCGCGTGTTCAGGGAAGGTGGTTCTCAGCGTTGGAGGGTGCTTCTTCATGCTGTTGGTAGCAAAATTGGGGAAGAGAGAAATAGAGGGAAGAACTGATAAGTAAAAACGGCACCAATTTTGGGGAAATATCAGCTTGTCTGGATTTCAAAGACGCTGAAATCGGGGGCATCCCTGCCGGAAAAGCAGATCTGGGCAGGGTGAGGCGGTGCCTGCGCTGGTCGCCAAGTGGCCGGGCCGGGCCGGGGGCTCCTGGGAAGGATGTGGGGGGAGCCTCTTGTCTGCCTAGCCCAGCCACGCCAGGAGGCGTGTGGGTGAAGTCGCGGACGTGCACATGGTGAAGCTGAAGGGAAGCAGATTGTCCTTCGCGTTGCGGTCATCTGCTGAGTCTAGTCTGAGCGAGAGGGTGGTAGTTAGAAGTAGAAGTGGTGCAGGGTTGGCTCTTGGGGGAAGGCGGGGATGGCATGAGCAAGACCAACGATCCTTGAGAGAGGTCGGGGGCAGAGACCGGAACGAGAGGCCGCTGGGGTTCGCAGGCGTGCGGCCGGTGGTGCCGGAGGTGGGAGCCCGCTCTCAGGCTGGCGCTGGGCACTGGAATCAAATCGGAGCGGGCGGGTGCCCCTGACGGGCCAGGAGCCGGGCGGGAAGCAGCTTAGAGAACAGCCGGTGAGGGAAGGAGGTCCACGAGGAGACTGCAGCCTGCGGGAGACAGGCCGGGCCCCCCTCGCCCATCCATCCTGCCTTTCACGCCATGTTGGTTTCCTTCCTCATCGCCAACCTGGCTTTGGGGAGCGGGGTACGTGCGTTACGTGCCTGTGACCTTCCCGTTGTCTCCACGGAGCTTGTAGTTCATTCGCGCTGCGTTTTAGTCCTGGGGAAACAGGCTGCACACGGGGCAGAGGGGACGATTGGGTGGAGCCCGAATGTTCTGAACCTTGGTGCAAGGTGCTAAAGATTGCGTGGGAGCAGAGAAAGGGTGCTCCAGGATTCGAGAGAACAGAGAGCGAACAAAGACCGGAGGTGGATTCATGTTTGACCATCTTCGACCGTTGCCGCGGGCGGCAGTCCACAGGCAGCCTGGGGTCCCTGCTCTAAGAGCAAGGTCAGAGAGAATGAAGAGGACAGTTCTCGTGATAAGTGAGGACAAGAGCTCAGGTTCTCGCCCTGGCGCAGCTGACCTCTTTGGGGGGAGGCGCAGTGCACTGCAGGCGGCACCCCGCTCTTGCCCACAGGCCTCCCCTAGTTGTGACAGCCGCAGTCTCCTGGGGAGGCGGTGTGAGGGCTCGGGAAGCAGCGCTGAGCAAGGAGAGCGTGATGGGACTGGCCTGCGCCTCCCGCGGGCTGTGGAGGGGCAGGAGGGGGTCGGCTTGCAGGGTCTGCGCGGTCAGCTACACGCCTGCCCTCTTGTAGCCCCTGGTCAGACCTGGGTCCTCCCTCTGCGGGAGGGCGCTCTGGGCCTTGCCAGCGGGGCGTCCCCGGGCTCCTCGGCGCGCGTTCCCGCGCAGTCTGGCGCAGCAGGCAGCGTGCTCTGCCTCCTCCTGGCCTCCGGCCTGCCAACCCCATGCCCCACGCGTGGCAGGCAGGCAGGAGTGGGCGGGGTGCTGGCGCGGCACGACGGAGCAGCTGCGCTCCGTGCCTGCGGGGTGCGGTGCGTCCCCCACGGTGGTCCAGGCCGCCGCCCCTGCGTCTCTTTGCGGGTGCTGGGGCAGCTCCTGGTGCGCGCTGTCGTGTGGGGCCTGGTGGCCCTGCTCTGTCGTCTGGCTTCTGGAGCGTGACTAAGAGATGACCTGAAATTCTTGGAAAGTTCTAATTTTACATTTAATTTTCAGGCTGAAGAACAGTTGAGAATTGTCGAGGAACAAAGAAAGATTCATGAGGAAAGGATGAAACTAGAACAAGAGCGACAACGTCAACAAAAAGAAGAACAAAAAATTATCCTGGGCAAGGGGAAGTCCAGGCCAAAACTGTCCTTCTCACTAAAAACCCAGGATTAAGTTGCAAACTCTGAACTTTTTACAAAGAAAAATGGAAAAACTTTGTATGGTAGCTTCATGTTGAAGTGGTTTTTTTGTTGTTTTTGTTTTTTTAATTTGGAAAATCTGGAAAGTTAGCTCGTTCTGGCGGGGGCTGTGCTCTGCAACCCCGCTCCCTCTAGTCAGACCCCCGGATCGCTGCGGGCCTCTAACAAGCTTGTGTCCTCGCCGGCGGCGGCCTGACGCGGTTTTTACTGCCCCGACTTCAGAGTTGCGCTCTGCTCACGACACCGTAATGCTGGTTTTTCTGGCTTTTTGTTTTTTTATATATTTATAAAAAAAGAGAAAGTTGGCGATTGCCTCGGAGCCGGGTGCCGGCCTCGGGGTCCTGCCGGGCCCGGGGCGCGGTTGCTCTTGATCCCGACACAGGTAAGGAAACAGTTGGTCAGCTCCGGCCCGGACACCTGCAGTCAGTGTTGTCTCTGTTCACTTTGTTTTATTTCATTGACAAAATCAAACCAGCATTCCCCGATGTGTAAATAAATGATTTTGCTGAATAAAGTAAAGTCTGAAATTCATATGTCGAAGCAGTTTTTTTCCGAGTTCCGTTCGGTCTGAAAGAGGCTGGTTTGCTCTGTGAAGTCTGACACTTGCCCCTGCGCTCCAGCCCACTGGGCTTGTAGCCTAGGCTCCGTGTGCAGTAAGTATGCCCCCGAGCCGGCGGTCAGTGGCCGTGTTTGCGAATCCTGATCGATGCCAGCAGGGCAGTTGGGACACCAGTTTTGCCCCGAGGAAGAGCTGAGCACCCAGGGAAGACGCACACTCCCAGACCTGTGCCTGTGCTGGGGTTGGTGTGCAGCCGCCACGCACTACGCCCGGAGACTGGGAAACGCCATCCAAGCGCCGAGCGCCTCCTTACTTTGAGCGCGGCCCGGTACCCCGCAAGCGGCCCCCTGCGGTGCGCCAGCTCCTTTCGCTTCCTCAGAGGCTGGGCGTGCACGTGGCCGCTCCCGGCAACGAGCCTCGGGCCTGCTGCGTCTGAGTCTGGTGGACTCCCCCACCCACGACGAGGGCGTGTGTGTGCGGCCCCGAGATGAGTGCGTCACTGACGCTCGGAGATGAGCTCCAGTGTCTGAGGCAGCTCCATCAGCCTTTTGTCAAAGTCAGCACGCCGAGAAGACGGAACGGCGATTATAGTGCGCGTGCTGAGAAAATGCTGATGCTGTAGCGTGAGCCCCGCAGAGTCCGTGTGGTGAGGGGCAGGAGGTCCGTTTACCTCCTGCAGAGAGTAGAACTTCAAGTAGTGAACTGCAGTGAGAGCTGAGGGCGGCGGCCCTGCAGCCTGGTAAGCCCTGGCGTTAGCTGCCGGCACACCTCTCTCTGTCCCTGTAGCACAGTTGCCTTTGTTTCCTGACTCGCACGTTTTTTTAGCGTGACTTTGTCGGTGCACATCCATTATTCTAAGTTGTGTCTTCGGGTTTGGGGAAATGTTTATTTTAAAATTGTTTTGCTTATGTGGGCCTTTTAAGAACTTTCCTATGCCACGTCTGGTGTGGAACGACAGTAAGTCACTTAGTGACGCAGTACCTCGCTGTTAGCGGCACTCTGCGGATCCTGAGACTGCCCCCCACCCCCCCACCCCCCGGTGCCAGGCTACAGGAAAGGGGGTGCACATGGTTAATAAAATACACGCAGCCTTTTGTGTGCTGCAGTGTGGAGTCACTTTCTGCCGTTTGCACTGCCTGTGTACATACGGTAAAAGCTCACGTTCTCTCCCACTGTTAGAGGTTTAGTTGTGGCCTAATTTATTAAATATGCCTTTCTTCACCGTTTGTTTTAGGTTATTTCAATGCATTATAGAATTAATGACATTGTTTTTACTGCAGTATTTAAAATGTAGCTATTGCCATTTCTGTTGTGGAGTCTGCAGAAAGATTAATTGTGTAACTCAGACCTCTCAGTTAGCTTGGTGTGAGGACGCTCATGGTTTCACAGGGCGGGTCTGCGCTGAGCCTTCCGCTGAGTCCCCTGTGCGCGCTCTCCGCAGCCGGGTCACCGAGCTGTGCTCATCCACGGCCTTCGCCTTCGCCGCCACCGCCCCTGGGGAAAGCGGCTCTCGTGTGCAGAGGTCTTTTCTGGGTTTCAGCAGTAGAATCATCATGTCCTTCCTGATGCCTCCTTTTATATCGCTCGTCCCTTGGCCGCTTGAGTACAACTTCCCTAAAGCTGTTACTGTTAGCTTGAGCTACTGTACTCTGTGCCCATTTTCTGCCCCTGAACCACCCACCTGTTCTGTGTTCCTGTCCACGAGGCCTCCTGAGCCGGGCGCCTCACCGTGGGACCGCGTGCCCGCATCAGACCAGCGCTGGCGACGGGATGGCGGACCGGGCCGAGAGGCAGGCGCTGGAGAGGCCTCTGCGCGGGGTCTGCCCGCTGGCTGCTTGGAGCTGTCACTGGCACCACTGTGATTGCTCTGCCGTTGAGTTTGCCGTGAACGTGCAGGAGGCCGGCCAGGAGCCTGGGGCCCAGCGGAGGTTCGCGGCTGCACCCTTACTCGGCCAGGAGGGTCCAGCCTCTTCCTCTGTCGGTGGGGGCTGGACTTGGTGCTTCCTGAGCCGCGGTGTGGATGGAGGGTGGAGGCACATTGCATTTTTCAATCAGCCTTTTCTGCTGAATTGCATTGTGGGGTAGGGTTCGTGGGGTGCAGGAGGTGAGCCCTGTCCTTGGGCTGTCAGCCACCCCCCCCCCTTTACCGGTGACCGCCTTCACATGGTACCCGGCAGTTGTGGGGTGGGACTGTGTAAGAGGTCAGGCGTTGGAACTAGCCAGTGACACCGCCAGGCCAAACCCCATGGCCAGTTCCCGCTGTCCCTGCATGCTCCCAAGTCCCAGGCGGTGGTGCCTGGGGTTTGGCTCCTCCCGTAAGCCCATTGTTGCAAACATGGGCATGAGGTTTCTTGCCAGGGGCTAAGCCTGTGGACACAGAGATGGGGTGGACGAGTGACTTGGTCCCTGAGGCATCCTCTGCAGGAGCTGGTCACTAACCTTGCCCAGGGAAGCTGGACCCAAGGGCCACAGCATCTCTACTCAGCTCTAGGCCCAGTGTGTGGCCATCGGGGCCACAAGGGCAGGCCTGGAGGTGTGCGGAGCCTCGGGGGAGGGTTTATTTCACTCCTGGAAGGTCATCGTTGGCATTAGTTGCACAGTCTGGAGATGTGTGAACGAACAGCGGGCCGTGCCAGGGGCAGAGCGGGCGGGCGGACGAGCGGGCACCCCATGCGCCTCACATCCGGCACAGGCCAGGCCTCGCACTGTACGGGCCTCGCTGTTGAAGTAGGCCTTCTTGGAGGGAATGTGGGAACACCTAAGGAAGGCCAGAGCCTGGTGGCAAGTGCGCTGCTCGGGCCAAGTGACTATCCACTTATCCGAAACCAGACGCCTGGCGTGTTCGCTCACCCTATATTGATGCTTCTCCACTCCCTCGGGTGCCTGCGTTTCCAGGCTTTTTTACCAGTTTGACTTCTAGAGACGGGTTCCTTTACCTAGAGAGTCAGAGTAACTTGCTGGGAGAAGACTTCATTTTTTAACACTGGGCTCAATATTGCTGGAGAAGTTAGAAAATAACCATGTGGGCCCTCCCTGGTGGCGCAGCGGGTTAAAGCACTGCACTAAGAAGCTAAAGCCACTTCCGCATGAATTCGATTCCCGCCTGCCCCGGAGGTGACCCCATGGCGCTGCAGACCTCTCCTGACCCGCCCTCTGCTCCCCTCAGCAGTGGACTTCGTCGATCTGCCTGTTCTGCTCCCCGCTCTCTGGTGACTCCTCTCACCATCCCTGCACCTCTGGCCTGTACCCCAGTTCTGTGTGCATAAATAAGTCTTTAAAAATGAAAATAACCATGTTCCACCGACTAAAAGGCCCAAGTAGAAACAGGCCCAAGGTGAAACAGGTCCTAAAGTGTCATGATCTGTCTCTCATAAATAACTTTAGCATGGATGGGGCATCCTAACTTTTTCTCTGGTCTGGCATGATGTGGACAAGAGTTACAGGTAGCTTTAGGTGATGCGTCATTACGGAAAAGGCAGAACCCGACGGTGCTGACCTTGGTCCTCCTAAACACTCCCGACTGGGGAGCAAGCCCGAGTCTGGAGTGAGTCCACGCAGCACCTCGCACTGAAGCTAGACAACAGCCTGGAGTTTATTTGTTGATGAAATATACATGAAAAGAAACTGTATGTTGACATTTTTCTCAAGGCAAATGCCCTGGACATGAGAATATCTGTCTTGCTAAAAATGGAAGCCAGGGTTATTTTCAGACAATGTAAATGCCCACCTTCCCCCGGCTGACTGGAGAGAGGATGTGGGAGTTCACAGGTCACGACTGAGGCTTCACAACATGTTTGCCAACTATGAAACCGCGCACAGACAGTCCAGTTCCTTTGAAAAGACCGGTTTAACGGCCCCCTAGATTCCAAGTGTGTCCCAAAGGTTTTTCAAGCTGATTAAAAACGACTCCTCTTCCCTTCCTGCTTTCCAGCACACCAGCACCCCCTCCTCCCCGCCCCCATCTGCCAAGTCTTTCCAGTCCGTTTTTTACCATGCTGGAGCCTTAAAGAGCTCATTTCTTCAAATTGGAGGTTTATTTAAAACTAGCAACTCAGAAGTCGTCAGTGGCGTCCCTCCTGACACGGGGGCTCTCTCCCTTCGACGGGAATAACGCGCCTGTAATCCTTAACACTCCTTGAAATGCATCTCATGGTGTGTTTTCAAAAACGAGTGCTGGATGGCAGAACGCTTCAGAAGTTAGAGTGCAAGAGACACCAGTAAATATCGCGAAGAGCTGTCTCGCCATCTGCACTTTCCTCTCCCAGCGCAGCCGCGCGGAGCTCTTGGCTTAGGAAGGAGCGTTTGCAGCAACACGCCGGCCCGGGGAACGGAGGCAATCCGGCGCACACGTTATTGCGGAACGTGGGGGCTGACGGCTTTTTCCCGACCTTAACTGTGCACTTTAACGGTGCCTCCCTCTGCCGGACGCCCCCGGGCAGCTCATGAAGGAGACTCGCCCGTGGGCTTCGGGGCGCGATCGGATTCGGGGTTCTGGTTCCGGGTGGAGAGACTGGGCGCCGCGCGGGGAGGCCCGGCGGGCCGCTAGTGGGCGCTGTGGGTCCGTGGAAGCGCTGGGCTCCCGGCGCCGGTCCCAGCCTTTCTCGCGCCCCGAGTGCCGAATGCCTGCCGCCTCGCCAACGGGCGCGATTTGTCACCGTCACCCCTACATTCCCGGTCACCTTGGGGAGGCGTGAGGGTGTCCCGCGGGTTAGTTGGGGAGCAGGTCCCGCGGCAGGCGCGGGGTGCGGGCCGCCCG